AATGTGCCCTTTTAAGCGGCTGTCATGACAACTATCCACACTCCACGCTGGCTTTCTAATCGCCCTTCACTTTTGTGCCGAGAATGTTGATCAGAGCTGCCCTATTGTTAGGCGGCCCTCCTTCCCTAGGTCTTATAAGTCTCCCTCTTGCCTAGTAGGATCCGTCTGCTATCCCCCTGGTCCCCAGACAATTGGCTAAAAGACCGGCTTCACTTGTATCTGACGCATAGTACTAGGAATGGCAAGTCTCACTGACGATGCCGGCGAAACGTCTGGGAATGTACCACGTCCACAGTCCGACTCTGGAAATTATCATGCATACTATGGACTCCGAACTAGATGCATTTCTATAGGTCTTCTTACAAATACGACCAAGATGCGAAAAAAAGGTCAAACAACTTCTATACAACAAAAGGAAACTGCGACCACACAAACGGCCATACCATCTTGGTCTTCATTTCTTCAATTAAAATTTCATAGTTGTGCAAATAATTTTTAAGCCTGACCTAATGTTGCTTCTAGGATATGTTTAAAAGCTACCATAAATCTTGTTTCTTAAGCAATTCATAACATGTCTTTCCACAATTAATAGAGGGAAACAATTGATTCTCTCTATAAATGGAATGTATCTCTAAATCATAAACGACATAATCGTAAGCAACATGACACAAGGTTTACAGTCCAGTTTAGATTGTTTGTTTATCGGACTGTGGGGAGGACAAAGATAACACAGGTTGAAACAGCAGCCTGACCTGGATATAAAAGACATTTCGGGATGCATGACAAAGTGAAAGTATCTATCTAGTGTAACTCTTCAATAATGATTCATCAGACCGCCTATGAGGGAAAATGACTTTAGATAGAAAGGAATACTGCTACAGCGACCAGAGGGTGTCACATCTTGAGAGACCAGGATGCCTTCCTGGCCAACAAGTAATTAAGTTACTTTAACGCTAAATACTTTACACTTGATCAACTATTAGACTATTCTACGACTAGAGTTTGTTTGATCTCGGTTTCACAAAAAGTCGTGCTTTAAGGTCGAATTCGAAGAACGTACTCCGTACTTCCATTGTTATAATGTTTGCTTTGACAAATGACAGTTCGGCGCTTAGGGTGCACATCTCATTGACGATGCCGACCGACGGTGTGATGCCGGAAGAAGACATGACAGTAATGATAGATGACGCAGTGCTGAGAATCTTTTTTGAAGTCTCTCTAAAAACATGGCGAAAGTGCAAAAATGAGACCAAGCCAACTCTATACGACGATAAGAGACTGCGAGCAAGTAGATGTCATATCGTGCTGGTTCGACCTTGTTTTCGCAACTTGGTCGGGGCGTCAGGGAGACCTTGTGGAACGCGCCTAGTCCCGTGTCCTCTGTAATAGTATTCGTGATTTCCAGCATTGGACCATTGGCTGGATACATTCCCAGCTGGGACAGAGGACACTGGACTAGGTACGTTCTCCAAGGTCTCACTAACGCTCCGACCAAGTTGCGAAAACAAGGTCGAACCAACATTATAAAGCTAAAGAAGATTGCAACCAAACAGAAGGCCACACCATCTACGATCCAAAGGTCATATTATTTTTGTTTTCATATCTACGATATAATTTTAGCTAGCCCTGTCTGAATAATTCCTGACCTAAGTCCCTAGCCTAAATCAACATGTATCCATTCGTTTTGTTGTGCTCGTTCGTCTGTGTGTATATATGTGGGCGTGTAGGTTTTAGCATAGAGACATGAAAAATGAGTCTCATCGAAGCACGGTAGTTGCAAGCCCTGGCGTTGCTGTGAGTATGCTCACTGCTCATCTTCTGTCTGTTGTATATTATAAATCTTCAAAGTAAGGGCTAATGCTTGTACAAAGTTATCAAAGGGGCTTCCGCACAACCTACATATTGCAAGAGCTGGAGGAGGTTTTCCAGCAGCGCACTGTCTCGGCGGAGTAGATTCTAGGAACGAAGTGTTCATATTCGCATGCGACCAGTTCCGCCTGTGCTGCCACCTGGTCTGGTCACTCAGAGTTTCTGAGCTACAGCAAGTGCCGACTCGAAATTTGCCTAACTCAGCACCAGTGGCGTCAGGGTACTGGCTGCCGCAACTGCCTTCGCCATAACTCAGACTGTCCGACGACTGCGTGTGATAAGATGGGCTTCTGTTGTCGAAACCAAAGCTGTCACTGGCTGCCGACAGACTGGCGACAGACGAGGCAAGCAGACCGACTGACGGCTGGGCCGGACTAAACAGCACATCCTGACTGACAGGCGTAGTCACTACTATCGACGAACCAGCTCCAGCAGAGACGCCAGTGTCGATACCTGCGATAGCTGTTGCCATGGCAAGGGTAAAGGCAGCAGCCTCGCATCCGGCCGTCAGTGTGGATGAACTAGCGGGAGGAGAGTTCAAAGGCCGAGTAATCGGGTTGGCGGAGTTCGAGCGGTTGGGGAGGAAGAGTGGCAGGACACGCAGGGACGACGAATTTGTAATGGTAGTGGGTGCGTCGATCAGCATAGAAGTGCTATGCGAATAGAGAGGAAAGTTAGTGAAGGCGAACAGGGAAAGAGGAGTGCAAAAAGGAGGAATAGAGCAAGCAAATGATGGACTACAAACTCGAGAAGGCTATAGTTGTAACATGTGGACCAGGGTGTAGGTGTATTGGCATTGGAAACGATTCGATGTTAGTTATTATCATCTACAATGTAAAATTGTACAAAACAGCGAAGATAAGATAATGCTGAGAGTCGTGCAAGTCTTAATACAATTCTTGGTAGCTAAGTATTAGTGATGAGAGGCTTTTTGACATTGGCGGTAGAAATGAGGCTAAACGGGGCAACACAATTTGTTCGCCAGTGTACTTTTAATGTTAATAATATTGTTGGTAGTAGGTAACACGTTCGATGGCTCAGCCAATGGTGACAACCCCTAGTGTACTGGTAGTAACGCCAATGGCGTCTAGATCAATGTAACCAGTGTTGGGGGTAATAGTGGTGGCGGTGGGGTTTATGTTAGTGCTGGAGATGCGGATAGTGCTACTGATATCCGAGTTAAAGGGCCATTAATCCTACC